GAAAATTAATCATTGTTTAGAAACTAAAGACTTGTACATTGAAAATTACAGTAGAAATCTTTTTACAAATAAAAAAATTGTTAAATAAAAAAGCAAAAAAAAAAAAAAAGTCAAAAAGAAAAAGATAAAAAATCTTTTGGTTATTCTTTCTGTATATTGAAATTGACATTGATGGATTGAGTAAAAAACGAGAACAAGACTGCTGTTCAACAAACTGATAACGTATTTAACAGATTTTTAACATTAAAAATAAAAGAAAAAAAAATGCTTTTTTGATATTTCCTTTTTGCTCTTCATCGCCTTCGGCTTTCTACCTTTATTTTAGTGCTGACTTAAAGAAAATTCAATTTAAGCAGACATCAGCATTTGTTGTCAGACACTTTAATAATCCAAAATAAACCAAACTAAAATTAAAATAAAGCAAAAAATAAAAAAAAAAAGAATTACAAAAATAAAAGAAACAAAAACTGTTCAAATACCCACCGATCTGATACATGCAACTCTGCAAAAAGGCAACAATCCAAACGACAGCAATCCATCGTATTGTCATTTCTTTACTAAAATACCTCGTATAGGATAAGGGTCTGCATATAACAACAAAACGATTAATTGCAATTAGAATATGAGCATATATTGCAGCATAGTAAAATATTATTAATATTTGTCCTACGGTATAGGAAACACGTGGATTGGCCAATATGCTTGGCAACGACTTTGTATGGCTGAAATAGATAAAATTGAAAACCGACAAACGATCATCATTAGGTACACGCAAAAATATAAATATATTCAGTTGGAAATACTATATAGATGTAAAGAAAGTAAGTTTTTCTTCCTTTACATCTCTATAAAACAGCAGCACATACGGTAAACATAAAAAAATGTAATCTATCGCTAAACTGTTGTTTATTTTCAATCTCTTTTTTCATGTCTCTTAAACTGTCAATTTTAAAATATTCTGTGAACAACAACAGTAATAACGACAAACATTGCTGTATTTTTGTATATTATCAATGTTTTCATTAAAGCGGTAAGGCAACCTCCTCCTTGAAATAACAATAATTAATTTTAAAGATCAGCTGTTAAAGAAAATTTTTTTTAGAACTTTATCCCTTTCTTCTCTTTTTTTTTTTTCGAAACCATTAATTTTAAAGCTGTAATGCTCACACATTACTTGTTGACAGTTATCTAAAAATAATGCAAAAAATTTTTTTTCTAAGATGAATGTGTTAATAAAAGAAAAAAAGCTTAACATTAAC